CCTGCTGGGACTGTCGTGTGCAACCTGAAACAAGATGCAGTGGATACACACAGCTCCAGGTAATGTACCAGGAGATGCAATGACAACGTAAGCTGCCAACCTACCCAAAGCAGGTTTACTTGGGCTGTCTCGAGTTCAAAAGCAGCCAAGCCCATGGAAGTGGAAGCTTCAGCTCAGTCTCTAGACTCCTGCTTGCTGTCTCAGGTACTCTCATCTGCTCCTCAACACCAGCACTGATAAACCTGAATTAATAGATGTCCCATAAGTATAGTATAAAATCTCCTCAGAGACAAGTCTGGCAGCTCAGTAACCTGCCAGTGCTATGAGCAACTTTCTGAGGGGTGAAACACCCAAACAAAGACAGGAATTGGTTTATTCCTATAGCGAGTTAGGGAGATTGAAATGAAAGATCGGTGCCTTGCTGGCCCTGCCAAAGCTGGCAGTGGAAGCGTTTGTTTGAACACAGAAGTGTGGTTATGGCAGCCCCAGCGCTGCTCCCGGGATCCGCGTTCTCGGAAACGCCGCCACCGAGCCCCAGCTCGGCTCCAGCGCTGGAGGAAGTGGGGGAAGGTGCAGATAAGGGCAACTGCTGCCCTCAGAGCGCGGCAGGTGAAACATCAACCCGGCAGAAAGGGGAACAGGCTCCAGTCACCTTCCCTCGGCTGGAGGCACTCATGGAGCTGGGAACATGCCTGCACACACGTGCACTCAGCCATGGCAACGGCCCAGCCCCGGCTGTGCCACAGAAACTGGGTTACACAGTTACCCAGGTGAGCTCTTCATTCCCATTTTCCAGTTTTTATTCAGCAAAAGTCAAGCATTTTAGAGAATCTGTGCAATTTCATTAATTAGCTTAAGATGTTTAACTAAAAAAAAGAACAATCCAGAAGACAATGAATTACAGCTAAATGTAGCTTCTTGCAGTTGGTGAGCTTTTTTTATAGCACTGTATATATTGTATCCATCTCTGGCAGCAATCACAAAACAGGGAACAGGAGTTGAAAGCCTCAGGATTGTGCATGCGTAATTAGATGAGACACTTCCTTCACGAGGGTAATGTGAAACAGAAGTAACAAAGCAAAACAGGAACAATCTCCTTTGTGCTGCACACAGATTACATCACGATTCATATGCATTCCTTGTACATTATTCCTTTTGTGTCCCGCACTGATCAAGCATTTTTCCTTTTCAAAAAAGGCTCTGGACAGTTTCACAAAGGGTTAAAGCTTAAAAAGGGAGAAAGAAAAAAAATCCTTGTTGAAGAATGCGGCGGTGCAAATGAAACTGAAAGCCTCGACACATGCACATGGCCACAACAGCTAAAAAATAACTCATCACCCCCGGATAAAAACTTGAAACCCACAGTTTGAGGCATTTTAACAAATGTGTTCAGTGTTTCTACTCAGCTGAAAGAAAATCAGTTGCAAAATGCACACTGAAAGCAAACCGTGAATTTTGGTGATTTAAGGATACTGAAAGCTGTACCTCTCCTTAAAAAAATAAAAAAAGGGAAAAAAAAAGACAGATGTTCTGGGAATACTACGGCATTCTACCACTCCTTTTGAAGTTTAAAAAAAGAGAGTAAAAAAAAAAAAAAGGCAAATAAAAAATCCGCAGCAAAAAATAGCCCTGCTTCTTTTCAAGTGACTGCTCAAAATAGCTTGCAGTATTAAAATGAAAAGCCCTCAAAATGCAAGCGGAGCCCACGCCCGGAGCGGAGCGGAAGCGGGGGGAGGCCGCGGCGGGCGCGCGCCGCTCCCGGGGGCCCGCGCGGCGCNNNACCAAAAGGGCGGCCTTTGAACCCCGCGGCCGCTTCCCGCGGCGCCCGAGCAGCGCGGCACAAAGAACAGCCATTTTGTGACAGCGCCGGCCGCCGCCGCCGCCCGAGCCGCCCGCCACGGCCCCGCCGCTGCCCCAGCCACAACGGGCTGCCCCCTGCTCCCAGCGCCACGCACCGGGGCAGTTTGTGCTTAACGCGACCGTTTCCCTCCTCTCCCCCCCTCCGCCAAACGCTGGTTCGTGTGCACCGACATCTCCATAAAATGGCTGCCACGTCAGGCGAGGGTGTTGTGCTGCGCAAAGCCCTGCGCTGGGAGGTGGCTGCTGAGCAAAAACACGCCATTTCAGGCCGCTGAGCTCCAGCTCTGCACAGAAAACGGCCTGGGAGCTAGCCCACCGCATCCTATTTTTCCCAAAAAAAAGAGATGTTTTCATGCTAGAGAAGCCCAGAGCTGGACACAGACAGAAGGGCTGGCCCAGCCCTGCAGGGCCTGCAGCTCAAACCGTTCCCACGCTGGGTATTTCAGAGGTGGGAGAGAAACTGCAACAGATACAGGCCAAGGGAAAGGAAAACTACGTATCCCATGCCTGTTACTTGCTATCCCTGCAAAACTCACTGCTGGGCTTCAGGGGGGCCCCAGCCTGCCTCTGGCTCTGCACTTCCCATGAGGGCCGACCATGGGTGATGTACCTTCACACTACCTGCCCTTCAGACACGTAGCACAGAAGATGTTAGAAAATACAGCAGATTGTGTTCAATCACTTATGCAAATCCCAGGCACACAGGTGAGGGTCAGCAGGAACTGCAGCAGACCCAAAACAACTTTCACTTTGGGCAAAGTTGCAGGAAATCACTCAGCTCCAAGTTCTATTTACTGTCAAAGCACAAAGGACAGGTGTTGCTGAGCACCTGGAAAGGCAGGAGTACAAGCCCCAGCTTACAAACTGTAAAGAGTTAACACCATCTCTCTCCCCAGGAATAAATCCATCTGCTTTGGGACAATTCTCAGGCATTTTTGTTTATCCCACACAGGCCTTTGTAATTCCCTTAGAACTGGAAAAGAAGGAGTCAATTCCTCAGTTAGGGCACTACAGTGGTGTGCAAGAACTGTATTTTCTGGCACTCTTTTAACACCCTTCTCCAGCCCAGGTGAATGGCACTGGCTACATCCACCTCCTCCTCCAGCCAGGGCTCCCACCAGGACTGTGCAGGTACTTCCATGGATGCCAAGCTGGTCTCAGCAGCATGTGAAGTGCAGACACCGGTGCATTTCGGGGTTACAATACAGCAAAGTGGTGGCTTTACTTCCTAGAAATCATTTCCCCTACTTCAGGTCAACCTCAGGAAGTAAAGCACATTTTATGACATTGAGCTGACTCACACCTCACAAATAAGCTCAACAGGGTTCACTTGCAAATATCCTGTGCTCAATTGTTCCCACACTTCAGGTGTGTTGGTGTCACACAGAGCAGGTTAATTTAGAGAAAAAAAAAAAGATGTGAAGAGGGAGAAGGGTAACCTCACACAACAGGTGTTAAATGTAAATAGATCAATTATGATAAATAACCTTTCAATGAAAACCCCAAAAGCACAGACACTATGCAAATCTCATACCCCTAAGGACAAAACCCCTGTGGGACTCCTGCTACATGGCTCAGATTTTAGCTCTTATTCCTTTCCAACACTGGTAAAATACTTTCAATTTCCTCAACAAATTATGTCTATTGCTGCTCTTGTTGATAATCTCCAAAAAAGCATTAAAATTTATATACTATGTAAAATAATTTTTATAAATGGTGACTTTTTACATAATATTTTGTGTGCAGCATTTACAGTAAAGAAAGCACAGTATGAAAATCTGATGTGTTTTTAAACTGCATTATTAGAAAAGCTCTGTTTAAGTGCTTCAACAATCCCTGAGGCTAATTTAGTTATTAATAATTTCAAATTAAACCATCTTACCCACATTTATTTTAGAATTTAAAATTTGACTGCATTTTTAAAACACCCAGAATACCATCCAAGTTTATACTAGAAGGTTACAGCAATTTAACAATAAATATATTGCCACAGTATTTCAAGTTCGTTTGCTTAAGGAAGGTTAAATACTGGACATCAGAAATACTATTCAAACACCTGAACATCACATAGAGCACATGTGATACAACAGACAGTTCAGAGTTCTTTTTTATTAATGTCGGTTAAAAATGCAGGCAGACAACACCAGAGAAAAAGAAACAAACCAAGATCCAACTGAAATTAACAAAATGCAAAACTCAGTAACATTTACAAACCATAAACCAAAAATGCATAGTTTAATTTCCAATTTTTGGAAGAGTCGACCTTTTAAATACAAAATTAGCTATTTGGTAATTGTACTTCTGCATTCCCAGCACACAAACATTTTCAGTATTTCATACTTTTCCCACATAAAGATTAAGTTTCTAAAAATCTGTAAATAATCTCATTACTTGGCAAAAGTAAATAAAAATACTCTGAGCAAAAATACGTTAAACAAAACAGGCAAATCATTTGGTGCCTCTTGTTAACAGTCCCAGTGTATATTTTATGATACAAAATGCCATCACCAGCAGGACAAAGTCTGGTTAAATTGTATAAAAATATTCTAAAATACCTCCACAGAATCAAAGTTCTACAAGCTCAAATAAAATTTGAAGTAAGAGGTATCCGACAAACAGGCACTTTCCAGTTTATATTTTAAAATAAGCTTTTTTTCATTCATGTAACTTTTTCTTGTGCCTATTTACTATAATTTACTACTACACCAGGCTTCTGTATGGCCCTCAGTTAAAGTTTAGACTTCTGAGATTCTTCAAAGAAAAATTTGCCTTGTATGTAAAATGGTGCAATGCAGCAATGGCTAAACCGACAAGGTCATTTTTCACAGCACAAAAAACCTAAAAACTGAAATTCAAAAGCTGGAAAAACATCATACAGGGGCAAGGGCTGCCCTGAATAAAGGTACAGTACCTTTTGCCTAGGACATGGGCCCTTAAGTCACAACACAAGTTTCAGAAATTGCTACCAAAAAAAATTAGGGTGTGGCATGCTAACAATCTCAAGGTCATTCCTTAAAAAGGAAGCAAAATCAGTAAAATGTTTTCTATTAAGCACTGACAGTAACCCAAGGCTGTCAAAGTAAACAGGGTATTCACAGGTTTTACAAAAAAAAAAAAAAAAGAAAGTTGATAGGTCATACCTCGATGCATTGCTGTGGACTGAACCCTCCTCTCCTTGGCTTTTGTCCTTATTTCTCATCATCTTTTTATTCTTAAATATTAAAAGGGGGTCAGGGGTGTCTGTTTGCTTTGAAGTCCTGTGCCCAGGTATTTACTGTCAAAAGTTGAAAGAAAGGTAAGGTCCCAGTTTGTTTCACTGGCTTTCATTATCAGGAACAAAGTCCTGACGCTGCAATGATATTGTTATAACAATACACAGCACTGATCAACACGGCAAACCGGAGATTTAAAACAAATAATCATTTTTACAAGAAAAATCCGAGAATAAACACAGGAGAGGAGCATCCTGCAAACTTTCCCAAAGTAACACTGGATGCAAATAATCTCTGTATCTTATTGCGTCATCCCAATACAGCACAAATCGGTCGAAAATCAAAGTATTCAAAACGGCAGAAATCTAAAAATTATTATTATTAATTGCTCACCTACCTGATCCATGCACCGCCGCCAGGACCAAGTCGATATTAGTTTCGGGTAGTGGAAAAACATTAGATCCAAAATATTTGTAATTATACCGATAAAATATAAATTTCAGAAAATGAAAAAAAATATATATTCTAATCCCAAAAATATGCTGCCGATAAAGCAAAAGAAGCGGTAATTAGTACAAAAATGTCCGGGGGAAAAAGCTCATTAGGAGAGCGCACAAAAATGGAGGTACGCCATGGCTTCTAAGCTGGAAAAACAACGACCTGGGCTCTCTCCACGGCTTCTTCTTTCCAGCAAGGCACGAAAAGGGAGCCCTCAAAAGCTGCTTTTCTGCCCGAAAAAGGTCCGCTCGGCCCCCGATTAGTGCCTAGGAGAGGCAAGGGGCTGTGGGGGCCCCCTGAGGCTGCCTGAAAGTTAGGGAAAGTTGCGTAAAGTGTTGGGGAAGGCACGGAGCTGAGCGCGCTCTCTCTAAGGCACAGCCGCCATCTAGAGCTCCTTCCCAGCTCTGAGCTCTGCCTTTGATTGACACTCTCTACATTTACCCCACAACTCAGGTGATGTACCATAGACCCACCCCTTCATTTCTACCAAAAAAAGAGAGAGCCTCCACCTAAAGGGTGCCTGCTACCCCACAGCCCTGGCTCCTTCCAACTACCCCAGCTCAAGGGGCACCTTAACCCCATGTGGCTCAGGCACCCTTTGGAAGCCAGAAAGAAATGGAATTTGTGCCTTTTGTTTTAAAGATTTGCTAAATATTTCAGTGCCTGGGCTAAAATTACTTCCTCCCTGGACAGGAAGTGGTGCTGTTACAAGCCATTTTGAAGGCATGGAAGTGGAGCTCACAGCCATGCAGGCAGCAGCAGCCCACCCCGGCGGTCACCCCACCCAAGGGGCAGCTTCCCCCCAGTTCGGTGGGGGAATCCCCAGACAAGAGCTCTTCCCTTTGCCCCCCAGTGCTGGCACTGGCAGGGGGGGACAGGAGCATCCTCCACTCCCAAGCCAACCCCACAGAGCTGAGATTGCCCTCCAGCTCCACAGCGCCTCCCTGGTGGTTCCCCCCACAACTCAAATCCAGCAGCCACACCGCTTCCATCAGCTACGCCAAGGCACTGCGGTCAAGCCAGTCCAACTCCATCAAACTGCTCATTTCTCATGCATTTTCTTAACCCATTCATGGTCATTAACAGATTTTAACACAACAAATTAATTTTAAAGCTGCACAACAGCCAAGCTGCAGAATTGCAAATCAATCAATGGACATCTCCAACACAACATCCTGGAATTGAGAGGATGTATCACCAAGGGAATGGAGGCGATCCAAGTACCCCCATACCACTTGATTCTGACTACCAGTTGTCTTCCATGACCAAAACCAACCCCTTAAAGCATAAGAACATCTTGCATATTCATAAGCACCACAACAAGACACAGCCATCAGCCACTGGGGGACCACTGGAGGACAAAGGGGCAACGGGCTAGTTTGGGTTTCTATGGGAACATCCATGGCACAGCATCCCAACAGCCCAAAACCATTGGCTTCGACCAGTAGAACCAACACCATCCCCTTTGATTCCTCCACAGACCTGCCACTTATCTCCTACAACCATCCATCCTCTTTCCACAAGGGGCTTCATTAGGAACTCTCCAATGCCACAAGCCATTAAAAAAAATTCCACTTTACCAATTATTCACAGAAGACTCCTTGCACCTCGACTGCAAGAATTAAAGAACCACAATGCAAGACTATTCAAAATATTTTTTTGTAACACTAAGGAAATCCACTCATTTGAATGAGAAACCCTTCAGGTTGGTCCCAGAATCCAACTCCACCATAAAAACACATGGCAAAACCAAAGTGGGGCAAGCATGTACCACCAAAATGGCTGGATGGAACAGGCATGAGCAACTCATCATGGCAAAAATGGGTATTTCCAAAAAAGTCTGAGCAAGGCAAATAGTTAAACACAGACAATGAACAGGAATTTGTTTGGGTTTTGAAATATAATTTCAAGATTATCTCAGCCCAGGTTTACCATCTTGACCCTCCAGCACAAAACAAAGACAACTTTGAGTTTCAGGTTAAACATACAGAGAAGAAATGCCTACAGTTAAATTATTAGATCCACTAGAAACCTGTAAGGAAATCACAACTTCAAATATTAGAACCATTTTAGAATTCATTTGCAAAGGTTAAAATGTCTTTTGTAGCCTTATCAAAAATAACTCAATTTTTCTCATCAAACACATGGCACAGTATCGTGACACTAAGGCTACATGCAAGAGCAGTGAAGCACATTGGACACTTGCACAGAACAATTTTAAGACCAGAGAGACTGTTCAGGAAGTCTGTAGTCCAGGAAATCTGTTGAAAAGTTTCTGTACCCACACACAACCCAAGAACATACCTAAAAAAGTTACACAAAACATTCAAGTACTCCTTTATTGTCATATTTTCTCAGCCTTCAACTGGTATCAATTCCATCTTAAAATAACTTCACAAAGTTCAGCAGCAGTGCCCTGACAATAGGCCAAGTACTGAAAACCCCTCATATTAAGCACCTGAATGAACAAGCCAGCGAATAAAAATTCATTCGAAGTCATGGCAAAGTGAACGTAATTTGCAAATGAAAACCACATTTGATACCAAGTAAAGCACAAAATTTTACCTTGCCTCCAGTACTTAGCTAAAGTATTTCTCAGTTTAATAGCAACCAAAAATGTAACCCACTTTAGTATCAACTCAACAAAAAATATTCAGCCAGAAAGGACAAACACAAAGTGTGAAATAAACCAAAACCTTTTATTTAAAATCACTTCATAAATTACATTTTCTCAAAATGTAAAGCAGTAGCAACAGATCTTTTACCAAATTAATTTGCCTGTCATGCAAAAACAACCCAAAAGGAAAATTTTGCCACCCAGTCCTCAAACAGATCCATCACTGGATAGTCACTGATTCATTCAAATGCAAGTCCATTTTGATAGGATGATCACAACCCAGATCTTCTCTGGTTTAATAACATGAGAGTCCACGTTTTAACATCCTTTTCTTGGACAGACATCCCAGCACTCATGCATTAGTCCATTTCCTCAACCTCTCATTCCCCAGTGGAACTGCCATCTTGGTGTCTCATTCGTAGACTCCTTTTGACACTCTTCAGCTGAATGGATTCTTTATGAAAAATTAGAAGAAAAATGCTGTTGGAACACACATCATTGCTTTAAACTAAGACATTCAACTACTGTACCTTGAAGATAATTTAAACATGTAACTCATGCTTCATTCCATGTTACACAGTCCACAATATCTACTTTTATCAGAAACAATGTCAAATAATCAATTCAAGAATAAAAATAAAATTCACCAAAACTATAAAAATAAATGGGAGAAAATATTAGAAGTCCAAGAACCCTTTCAGGATCCATGAATTCCATTTGAAATTTTTAAACCACTAGCGAAATCCGTGGTGGGAAATGAAAGAAATTTGCTCTTGCAACCATTTTCATTGCACTGTCCCATCCCCTGAAGCCGACATTGTGTAGCAGAACACCAAGGTTCTTGTAACAAACCAAAATTTGTAAGTACTCTTCAAGCTCCTTTCTTCAAAGACACAGATCCATCAAAGCCAATGGAAACTGGTTTCTTATAGACAGATGGTGACTGGACACAAGACATTCCACCATCTTAACCCAGTTTTCCAGCTCATGAAAGATGTACAGTGCAATAGCAAACACACTTCCAAGCAAATGGAATGACTGGTTTAGTTACTGGTGGGAAAGGACACACCAGGAATCAGACAGAAACGGTCACAAGTCACACTAGCTACCTTTAGCAAGGTAATTCCAACTGTACTCATCATGGAACTGCAACCAAGCCCACAGGTGAGGGACAAACCAAAGTGAACAAACAATATCCACATGGATAAATACAAACCCCATGTTCCCATCTTTCTGTCTTCTTCCAAGAAATAGAAGCTCGATTTACTTCAAGTAAAACCTTACTCCTCCTCACATGCAAAACTTAGGTACAGGAAGTTACTAAGTGTTAAGAACATCATTTTGAAACCAATGCTGATATGCAAAGAGGGTTTTTAAATGTCTTCATGATTTTGAGTATCTGCATTCCAACATCAATTTACTTTTTGAATATGTATAGGTTTAACCTCATTTTAGACTGAAAGCCAACTTCACCACCACTCTGCTCCCTGATAATCCTGGGCAGATTCTGACAAGGGATGCAGAAATTACCCACAGCCCAGCAAAAACCAGTGGGGCCATCTAGTGGTCTCTGCCTCTGCATCCCAGCTTCCCCAGTCTCATCTCAAAATAACCAGTTACAGCAAAGCAAAGAGCACTGGAAGCAGTGCAACAAGCCCCAGCCTGACTTGCTCAAGTACCCATGTGTCCTGTTTTATGCTGTTCTATACGTCCCTGTTTTAAATACAATGGGAAAGTCGTGCACATAGAAGTGGAATATGGCATCTGGTAATTTCACTTTGCACTGTGAAACATGCAGAGCTGCAGGAGTATTCAACCCCAGGACATTCATGCTTTCAGAAACAGAACTTTCAAGTTTAAAGAAATGCTCTGTTTCAAACATTCAACTCATCCTCAGTTAAGACAATGTATTAAATATTTTGAAAGGTGTTTTTCCGTCCCACTAAGCTAATGTTGGGGTTGCTTTGGGTTTGGTTTGGTTTTTTTTTTCCAATTCTCACCAAATTAATTTCAAATCTATTTAGGCATTTGAAGATTAATTAAAATTTGGAATGTTTTTTCATGGTAATACCTTGACAGAAGCATCAAAACAGGAAAAAAAAACAACACAAAGTTGTTCCATTATTGACATAATCAAACACTGACAAGTACTAACATATGTACATATACCCCATAAATAGGACCATTGAAATATTTTTAGTTATTTTTAATAAGCTTAAGATATAGAAATCCAATTACTCACATCAACTTTCCTCACCTCTAAAAAGGGTGCTTTAGTTATGCATTAGTCACCCTTTAAAAGGCTCTTTCCAGTTGGGTTAGCCCTCTGCCTCAGACACTCACAGGACCTGCCAAAAGCAATTTCAGGGCAAATTTCCCCGCTCAGTTCACCTACACTGGGTTGGACCAAGAACTTCACAAGTAACCCCATGACCTTCATCTTAAATGCTTCTCTAAACTTGTAAAATAATTAGCAGTAAACAGAACTGATGAGGTATTATAATTAAGAACACATTCTTGTTCTCCAAGTTATTATACATCAAAAAGATGCCACAGGAATGTCCAAAAATTAACAGCATCCTCTACACTTGTGAAATTTACATTTGCTTTAAAAGATTTCACAGCATTTGTTTACTTAGGAATTAAGGCACATTATACTAAGAAATTTCAATAATGTTACAAAAATACACTCCTCCATGAAGATATATGCAGTGATCCTACATTTGAGGTAGTTACTGGAAAACCCATTTTTTTCCCAGATGACATGAGTCTACCATTCCTTCTGTAAAATGATTTAGGCATCCGCCCATTTTTCAAGCTTCTGTTATCTACCAGTTACTGATTTGGTTTCCAAGCACTGTTATTTTGGTCATGATAAATCAGGGACCTGGGTAATGCTGTAATCCTGACAAAGTTTCCTTCAAACCACTGGTAACATGTTGGCACTCCATGCCATCCATTTCCAACCTGCCTAAAGGTTCAAGGCAACAATTACAAAACATCTGAGTTTACAAAGTTTTTCTCTTCAGCTTTTTTTGCAATTATTTGTTGCTGTATTAAAAGATTGCAGCAACAACAGACATCCCTCATGGCCAAACCCACTGCTTCAGCCACTGCAGGTCCACTGTAACCCTGCATTCCTTAAAGGGTGAGACTGAAGCCCAACACGAACAACACCCATGCATAAGACACCAATACATCCACAAACTATTCCAGAATGAAATCTGAGGCTCAAACTCTTAACTAAGGTGACCTACTTGGGAAAGGGAATTCACTCCAACAGAGGGAGCAGAATGGGCAACATGAGGTTCTGAGCAAACCAAACCTCAAGTTTTACACTTCAAAGCCCATTAAACCAAAGTTTTATTCTCAAAGACATCCCTGGTAACTTTTACACTGGAGGAAAGAAGTTCCTCTATTGCCAGCTAAGTCCATCATGTTATTCTGTACCATCCTTAGCAGGAACTAAGTGCTCTGGACAGCCCGAAATCTGCTTTTACCACCATTAGATGTTCCCTAAGCAGAACAGTAAAAGCACAACCCGTGTAGGGTTTGGTATTTATAGGTAAGAAAGGCTATTTCCCAGGTTTGTCAGATTTCAAGGTTAATTCCAGATAAGATGTGGCTTTGTTCACAAATGCACTCTTTTGTGGGTATTATTTTTAAATAATACATTTTACTGCATTAAGCAAAGTATGCCAACTTTAATAAAGCTCCTGGTGTTTTCGAGTATTTTCTCTCATCTCTTAAAAAGGGAGTTAAAAATCAGTGCTTCAACTAAACACCACGTTAACCAAATAATGCAACACCAGATATTTCAAGATCCACACACTGGAATGCTTTCACAACTGCTTTTTAAAACAACTTATTTTGTAGACAACCATTTCAACTGAGTCTTTTAAGGGTTTCACATTCACCTCTTCCTTTAGGTAAGGATTGTAAACCAGAAACAGATGGAAAATCACTCACAGTGTAACTGAAAAGCCAAAGTCCTACTCAAAGAGCCAGATCTGACAATAGCTAATTTACAACCCAATGAAAAAAAACAAAAATGCACACAGAAAGATGTAGCAATCACACAAAAATTAATATTGAAATGGAACATGAGTCACATGTTTAGAGATTCTAGCAGGTGACTGGGGCTAGGAAGGCATCAGTGGATAGCATAAGAAGAGTTTTGAGGAATAGCTGGAGAAGAAACATATCAAGAAATTTACTGCTGGACACACACCTGCAGTGGGAAAAATAGCTTCAGACTTCTGAAAGAACAAAGTAATAAAACTTACAGACCACAGTGGTAGAAGAAATTAAATACTTATCAAAACTAAGTTTGTGTACACACATTAAAAACTTAATTCCTCAAAGCCCATGAACTCTTTTGTTACATCTTTTTCTAACTGCTTTGCTTCAGGACTGAAAACTCAAATGGTAAAACTGGTCCAAAATGAAACTGATCCAGAAGCAGCAGGAGGCCAGACTAAGACAGCCTGGCAAGGTCTGCACCTTCTCCCACGAATTCCATTTCCTTTGCAGAAGGGCTCTACATTAGTCTCCACACTATGGAGTGGAAGAGAAGCACAGGACTCTGGAGTACAAAACCAGCTTCTCTCCCTGCTCCTGAGGCAGTGCAGAAGGCAATGGCTGCTGGAGGGCTCTACTAACAAACACAGCCATGGGACAGCTGAAATTCACTGTCATCTAGCCACTAAAATGAGTGGATTTGCATCTTGGAACATTTTCCCAAGTTATCTGAGGCCTAAGAAGGGTTTTGCTCAATCAGGTGGCATGTGAGACTAAAAGAAACTGTCTCTTAAAGAAAAGCATATATTCCAAAGCACAGTGCTCCAGGAATAGAGCTTCACATAAAAAAAAGTTAATCCATGCACACAAACTGCAATGGATGCCCTAATTAAATATGCAGAATCAAGGAATCTGAATTTTAAGCAGAGAGAAAGACAAAAGGACTTGGGTCTTTCCACAAGCAACTTCCAAGAAAGTCACAAAATGTGCCAGAGACAACAAAAGGTCAAGACCAAATCCCTTTCAGTTAAGGAAATGGGAAAAAATTCTCTCCCTATATTCATCCAGTATAGAACTGAATTAATTTACCTACACAAGCCTGCCAATTTTATGTTTTGACTATATGAGGAATAATTTGAAGTCTATCAGTCAGCAGTTTAATTTAAAAAAATACAGGAGACTGTACTGGCATTTATCATTTTGTGCAAAGCCAGAGCTTTATGAATGAAGAAGAGAAACAGAACAATTGTAGAACAGGAGACAGTGACTGTCTGCTCAAAGGCTCCCACTGATCCTGACAGAAGCATAAGGAAACACAAGATGCTTGTACAGCAAGTTCTTCCTGCTATACTTTCCACACCATTTGTTATCCAAATTGTGTGTAGTACCTCTCTAGAGACAGACATCAGCATACCAAAAACCCTTCTGAACAAGCATAACTATGATACAAAAGTTCTCAGTGAAATGTGGAGTCAAATCACAGAAGCCCCCAGAACTGCAATCAGATCTGGAAGCTGTTCTGCAGCCAGCCGGGGAGAGAGCACTCTCCAAGTACTGCTCACTTCCCCAGAGCCCAGCAGGAATGATCCAGGGTTCTTTTCAGCTTTTCTGAAACACACACGCACACATGGCCTCACACTAATGACCTTCAGAATGTATCCAGCCAAAGCCTTCAGCCACTCAAACATTATAGCCATGTGTGGTTGCTGGGGTTTTTTTAAAGCTAAAAAGTAAATGTTATTAGGAATAACAACTTACCAGTGCTTCAACCAAGAGCAGCTATTTTGCTTACAGTGAGTAAATCAATTCCTCAACATATCTGTAGGGAAAATGGGATATTAGAACACTTGAATTAAAACAAATTCAGAATTAAAAGAGATGTAAACCTTAAGGTCTACCAGACCAAGCAATAGCTTTGTTTACAAAAGCCCTCATTAAAAAAAAAACAAAAAAAAACAACAAAAAAAAAACCAACCCAACAAACACAAAAAAACCAACCATTCCCAGCTCACAGCATGTGCTAGAGAAGTTATTTTATTAAAAAAATTTAAATTATCACTAAGGAACCTGTTATTAAAGAACCTGTGAACAACTTAAGAAATTCAGACCCAGTCCACAAATTCATTGAGAAGAAACAAAAAATATATTCTTTGAAGTTTTCAAAAAAGATCAATCAGGCATCAAGTCTGGAAGCATGCTTAAGCAAACCGACTTGCCCTTCACAAGAGAAAAGAAAATGCGTTTTATTGAGAGGAGGTATCTGCTGGATGCAGGGCAATTATGTAACACATTTATGTGGAACAAATTATCTACAATATCTCAAAGTTACTCATGTATGGGCAAGGTCCGAATGAGGAAATCTGACTCTGAAAATGCCTATTGGCAATCTGAATCAATAAATTCTTAATCAGTTACCTTAAGCAAAGGTAAAAAGATTAAAGACCTGAAACAACTCATGAACCCCCTTTTCAGGGTAAATTTCAACTACATGAAAGAAGACATTCCAGTTTATCCTCCTGACACATACAAGCAAACCACTTCTCTTGTCATCTCTCAGAATCTACTTATATTGAAATATAGCCTCAAATGCATAAAAATTAATTAACCTATCCAGTGACAGCATACTGTGCAATCCTAAATTCTTCTCTTCCATTTGACAGCTACTCAGAGGTATAAAAAGAAATATGGGATGAACAGGATTGTAATTTCTTTGTTGATGTAATTTACTTGAAACTCTTATTATGGAAAAAGTCTTTAAAAAGGGAAACAACAAAAAAAAATAGCAGTAGGCTGGCAGAAGCATGTAGAATATCCTAATGCATGTGAAATTTAGAGGTTTAAAAAAGTGTTAATGATATTTTAAAATGTATTTACATGTGCACACGCAGCTGCTACTAAATGGAAGCACAGAACTTCTGCAAAGTGCCCATCCACCATTTTAGAAGAATCACAACATGGCTGCTGGACCATGATCAGCCATGAGGCATCCACCAGTCATCCAAGGCATGAAATATGAACCAGGGAAACAAGTGTTACTTGGGCCCTTTGAATCATTTCACTCAAAAAAGGCCACTTAGAAACTACAATCTATATGAAGACAGGTAAAGTTAATGACTGGAAGACTCTCAATTTACAGCTCTCAGTCATTTTTAATAATTCACGGCACAGCTACACATCCATCACTGCTTCCATGTTGGTTCTTGTTTTCTTTAGCTCTAGAGCAAGCACACAGCTATGGTAGTTTGACAGAAACTTTAATGAGGGTAGTATTTAATATGGCTGTCACCACAAAGCACCTTCCTTTAATGACAGTGTTATGAAGACTCCACCAGAGTTTTGTTCTTCTGACCTCAGCACACTTGTGCAAAAGGAATCTTGGGTGTGTCAGAGTGCTATCACATAGTAGTGACACTTCTCTTCTTGGAATTGAGTGGATAAACCAAACAATGAGCTTTGTGAAAACAGCACGAGGATGTTGGTAATATATTGCATTTCATCACATTAGTTATTTTTTCACTATTACAGAATATGCCCCTGTACTTTAAGTTTTTAATTTTTACATCCAAAACACATTCACTCTTAAACTACAGAATCAATCACCAAAGCCACAGGTTTATGCCACAAGTCAGAAACCAGATCTTGGACGTGCAAGTGTTCGCTGAAAGAAATTAACTTTTCATGTTAACAGCTGTATTTCCTGTATTTAATGTCAATCTTTTAATCAGACTACCTGCTATAATTGTTGTAGCCTGGGTGATGAAAAAAATCCATCCCCTATTTAAAAATAAACATGAATTTACTTTTTCTACGTTATCTAATAGCCTGTTTTTGTTTTAAAATCACAGACACTTGAAGTACAGTACAGCACAGCCTACCACACAAAGCACGCCCGGCATCATAGATGTCCCAAAGATTGGCACTAACCATCACACAGTGCATCTCTTTTTTCAGCAAGAAGTCAGGTCAGACACCCAAAAGCTATGACCTGGTATCACATTTTCTCTTGTATAATTTAATTAACAAAGTATTTTGGCAAAGATGATGTGTATCACCACACCAACAATCTTCCATGTACGCTGCCAATGCTACCAGAATCTATTCTATGAGAATACTTAACACGGGTTCATATCCCCACAGAGAACAACTTCCTCTACTGAGGTTTGGACTCAGTCTGAAAGGTTCTCCTGACCCCCTCGATCCTCAGGAGCACACTGTGGCGTAGCCATGAACAACTCAAGTCCCAGTCGTGTGCATCTAACCCACTGAGGTCTACTTATCCTAGAGGGGAAGCCACTGTTAGCTGAAAACAAGTTGTTCTTGCAAGAAAAGGCAGCTCTGAAGAGCTCACAAAAGGGACAGTTAAAGCTGCTTTTATTGTAATGTCTACTCAGCACTATCAGCATTAGGACAATACTGGGAAGATGCAAGACCATTAGGATCAAAGTGCTGAATTTCGTATTTATCGTAAAACGCTCAGGTCAGGCAAGATCTGATCTTAAGCACTGTGATTTTCTAATTTTTACTTTTCTACTTTTTTTTTTTTCAAGAGCAGGTTAGTTAAAAATTGCAGATTCAGACACTGCAGAATTTAATACCAGGAATATAAATTGAGTCTGACAGGTTCAATCCCATCAGTGTTATCAGACTTTTGTGTGACCCAAGCTGGCCTTGCTTTTATCGTAATAGGCTGTGCAGTATCTGTGATTTTTGACCCTTGAAACTGAAAACTTACGTGGGATTTTGGATATGCCGGGTTGTTCTTAAGGTATGAGATCATTTCTAACACAAACTTCTAGTTCTCACACTTGCCATCAGACAGTCACACGATGAAGTTGCAGGAACATTCTGACATATCACCTTGCTGGTTAGCTGTGTTTGCTGCAGGACATCCATGATGGTGGCACATGTCCAATATCTATAAATATAATTTGAACTCTACCTTGCCCATCAGCAGTGACTCACTGCAGATAAAGGTTTATTACAACCCTAAGTGACATTTTTGTAAAGCTTAGGGAAATTTGTGTACGATATCTTTTCTGTGAACAGACTGAAGGCTTCATCCCAGCCAAAAAAAAACCTAGCTGCACTCAGGTGGGGGGTTCACAATTGTATTTTCGGGTTATCATTGTGAATTATGTAACTTGAAAAAGCAAATCATCAAAAGTATTTTTGGGAATCCCGATACACGTGTCCTCATGAAGACGCCTCACGCTTTGAGGTCCTGAGTATGCACACAAGTACACGAGCATGGGAAGCTGTGAAAAGGAACCAGTCAAGACAGGCAAACAGGATCCCCCACTTTTAATTACAGAGTGGTGCAAGCCTGACTCAAAGGTTACTGATCCTAAATGCAGAATTGAAGTGTAGAAACAAAAAATAAACATTAAAAAGCTGCTTTGTTTACACTGCAAGGAGAGCAAGGTATCTTGTAACAACTGGGTACCACTTTAGACTTTTAGAATAAAATTTACACCAAACCCAGAATTTTAAAGTTTATTGTACAAACAATTTCTCGAAAAGGAAAAGCTTATGAGCGTCCCTGGCTAATAAACCAATACCTTGAACTAAGGAAACGCATTCCTGAAGTTTGATTAGACAACATCCTTAGGTGATGACAATCCTTTGGCTTCATCACATGTCAACATGGTCATAGCAGATTGTTAAAAAGTTGTACTTGTGAGTGACCATAAAATCTTCAAAGATGCAGGAGACATTAAGATTGTTGTAGTACGTACATACTAACTATTTCCAAATGCACTAAGCTTGAAAGAAAATAAATTCAAGAAGGTAAAACACTGAAACTTAAATGTTTAATGTTTATTTTGAAAAAAATTGTTTCCAGGATGATTAAAAAACAAAAAACATAAAACAAACAAACCCCACAACACAGTGTAACGTACCTGGCACGCACGGTACAGAATTTTGCTCAAGGTCTTTTGCCCAACCAGTCATCTGAATCTTTGGAAGAACAATATCCAGTAATAGCCCTTAAAGATAAAAAACAACAAAACCAGGTTTGTCTGAAAACGAGGCACAGAAAAGCTCATTAAGTCCTAACACTCTTGACTGACAAACTTTCTGAAAACACGTAAAGGAAATGTCCTTGAATAAACCGAAGTTTTACCAACAGTACAAAACCAATATTCTATCGCTGTTACGCGTTACTCGCCAAAAACAAGAAACAGGCCCCCAAAAATCTCCTCTGTCAATTCCTGAAGTCTTGGGTTGCTACCTTCAAGTACAAATTCTACAATTTCCCCAAACATTAATGCTACAAACTCATTAAGTAAAAAAACCTAAATTTTCAAAGTTTAATGTAGGTTTTCACTGGTGAAACAGGACGTACAGAACTTCAGTTTATATGCAAACACTGTCCTTTTCCACCAAATACTATATATATATATGTATCCCTATATTATAAAAATAAACAGTCCACTTATTAAATAGCCTCAGTAAACTGAAATTTATACCCAAGCAGCACATAAACATGACATTCTATGAAGATAGTCTACCTGTAACCCCAAAGAAAAGCTTTTTAGAAGTCCAGACAATTTATAAAATGTGTCCCGTCCTTCTGAGACTTTTTTTTCTCTTCCCATCTGCACAGTAGCAATTTACAGTTTCAAAAAAATAACAAGGTAATGAATATACTAACACAAGGTATAACCATTCTTACCTAAGAAAAATAAGGCATGAACAAATCCTCAGGAAGCTAGTCAGGAAACAAGGTTCTGTTCACGAAATCCTACCTG